GCTCCACCACCATCTATCACATTGCTGCAGACCACTCGCGCCCCCCACTCAGCTCACACTTGCTCACTGGCGCGGAGCTACCTGGGTCTGCTTGCGCCGTTATCTTGGGACTTGCCGCTATCCTGGGCCGCTAACCCGCAACATCCGCCGTAATTATCTCTACCAACACATCGAGCTCTTCTCCTTTCTCTTCTGCTCCACTACCGTCCACCATTCTGACCAACCAGGTACTGCAGGCCACACTGTCGGAAGCTCACCTTGGGCCGCATCCACCGGTTCATACTAACTGCTATGTCGGCCGCCAGTCGGCGGCAGCGCTCCTGAAATAACCACGTAACTCCTGTTCACCGGCACCACGACAACATCCTCCTTGCGCTCCAGCTGCAGCCCATCCGAGTCTTCGCCGACGCGACGCGTGACTTCGCAAGGCTCGTCGCTCTCCCTCTCCGCCTGACTCGCAAGCGCCGCACACCAGCAAATGCAGACGGCATGGACTGGCTTGCTCTCGCTCTCGCTCTCGGGCCCGGGGATCGGGTGCTTTCATGCCAGAGTGCACTGGCAGCTGCGGCAGAGACATGGCCGCACATCTTCCTTGGAGCTCCCCAGTCTGTGCTTGTTCAACGACCATGATGCGCCAAAGCGCCTTGGATACGTCCCGTGAGGCTTCGCGGACGGGGGCGATGCTCTCCGGGGCCGGTGGGGCCGGAACAGCCAAGATTTGGCCTGAGTTGGCCAGAATCGCGTCTGGCGCTGGCCTGGATCCAGCCCGTGGATCGCTGCGCAAGTCTACACGAGTCACCAGCAAGTCCAGGGTGTGGGGTTGGAAGGTTCTGAACGAGTTTGGGCGCGGCCTTGAGGCGGCGTGAAGTGCGGAAGAGGCGCGTGGGAGCTAGAGGGAGAGAGGTGGAGTTCTGTGCCAACCTCCGCACAGAACGCGCCATTGCGATGGTAGATTGGCGCAAGCCAACCACTGATGCCCGCAGTTGCTCCGCACTGGGTCCTGGGTGATGGGTTCATCGCCTGGTTTGTTCTGACTCGCGAAATCATTTAAACTCCATGTCAGCACCGAGAAGACCATTCTACCCGGGTGGACCCGCGTCTGTCTTCAATAATCTATTAAAGCCTGCCCACTCGTCGTGCGACACTGGCCACGCTGATACCTGAGCGGCGTACCGCTCAACGAGCTCATCCTCGACTGGCTGGCTCCCGCTCAAACTGTCCCGCGGCCGTTGACATGAATGCGCGGAACTTTGCATGCATGCACAGATGCGGCTGTTACTTGTGTACGCTGCACGCGTACGAGAGGTGGGATTAATGATATTGTAGCTGGGATGAGCAAGCTGTAGTATACCCAATTGTACCGTTCGCTATCCACCACAGGTATTGTGAATAGTAATAACAGAGACCAAGGATGAATACCTTCATATTTATATCCAACATAATGGAGAATATTACGGTGTTCATGTTCTGATTCTCAATCCCTTAAAAATTTATCATTACTTAAAATGGAAATTCCGAAGGAACGACTTGGAATTTGAGAGCGGGGTCTTCACTATCGTATACTAGAGGTCCAGGTCTACTTGATGCTACAAAAAACTCAAATCATAAATTTTGAGTACTTCGCCGCCCCCCCGCCGCTACCTTTTGTGCGGCGCAATAGCAGCGCCGACGGCAACAGCAGAACAGCGGCAGACACTGCCACAACCCTAGACAGATGTAAGAGGGCAGTACTGGGACCTTGGGCGGTGACTGCTTGTCATCGAGGCCAATGTCGACAACAATATCAATCATTACTTAAGATGGGAATTCTGAAAGAACTACTTCATATTTGAGTATGCGGTCTTCACTGTAGTATACCGCCTCCTGAGCGCTACTAGCTCATATAAAAATCCCAAATCATAAAAATTGAGTACTTTGCCGCTACCCTGCCGCTACCGCTTGTGCGGCACGATGGCGGTGGTGCGGCGACAGCGAAGCAGCAGTAGACAAGGCCGCGATGCTTAGTACTTCTGAGAAGTTCGTATTGGGACCCTTGTTACGGATGAGAGTGCATGCATTGCCGTGTTGAACATTGGCTGGCGCTGTAAGCCTCAAGTTCAAGATCAATTCATGACTTAAAATGGACATAGCAGCGGAAGAAATGGAAATTTGGTTGTGGGCACTTCACTATAGTGTAAAACAGCATGGAATACATCGTTCTACACAAAAAAGTGAAAGGCCAAAAATCAGTAACTTCGCCGCCTTCCACTGTGTGACGGCGATGAGCTCGATGTGACGAGCAACGACGTCGCCATGAGAATCGCTAGAGCCGGACCCATGGTTGGAGCCCGGCGGCCCAAGTTGCGGCTCTCGAAGGTCGCTTGTTGTCATGTCCGGCTTGATCGCACACCAGGGGTGAGCGGCGAAGTGCATATGTGTGTCAAAACATGTACTTCGCCGCTACCCAGCCGCTTCCCCACCTTGTGACGGTGGCGGAAGCGTGACATGGGAAAGCGGCGATGGGGGTAAAGGTAGCGGCGGTTCGCGGCAGGTGGGCGGCGCGAGGCGGCGAATTCTATCTGCCCTCCGCACACTGACTTGGCGAAAAACACTGATCGACTCTTCGACCGTCTGGGCCATCCAATATGCCATCGTATTCATGACGCAGCTCGATCTGGCGCTCCTTCCAGCTGAATTGCAACACCACCGTCTGTTGCAGACGCCTGTCACACACTTTGGCGCGGAGCTGCGGCGTGCGAATGTGATCCGGCCGCTTGTCTCATTGATGTCAAATCTTGTGGATGAATCCGGGCCAGCGGAGCCTGATCTTGGGGAGGTCCTCTGGCAGGGCCTCATGTTGCTGGAGCGGCTCTTGCTCCCCACACAAGGCGCGTTGTACTACTTTGATGCCCTTGACGCGGGGCTGCTCCGGGTCCTTGTCCGCGTGGCCTCAGGCCCGTATTTGACCGACGGGCGGCTGAAGGCGAGCGTCAAGCGCTATTTCACCCAGTGGATGCCGCTCAACTTTATCGACCATCTCTTTGTTTCTGAGCTGGTCAAGCATCTGGAGGAGGTCAAAGATCTCGAAGACCAGCACTCATTCAAGACATCCATTGTATATGATTCTTGGCTCGCTTTCAAGCGACAAGCTGAACAAAGGATTGAGTTGCTTAAGACCTGCAAGGAGGACAAATTGTTGGAGCTCAAGGCATGCGACAATATTGAGGTCTGTCTCCACACTTTTCTTCTTCTAGCTTGATTATTTGACGGCCATGTGCACAGTGTTGCCAAGTTCTCTTCCGCGAAGAAACCAGGAAGTGTTCAGCTTGCAAGGCAATGTATTACTGCTCAAAAGCGTGCCAGAAGGCGGACTGGAAGACCGGCGGGCATCGTTCAGGCTGCAAAGCATATGGGGAGCTTTTTCTGAGTGCGTCGCTATTAGTACTAGTGCTGTCCACAATTATATTATGCTAGAATATATTTTGAATATATTCGAATAAATATGATTATATTATGCCCTTTGCATATTCAGACCCATTGAATATGAGTGATTATGAATATGAATATATTATGAATATAATATATTATACCTTGGCCATAATTAATTATATTCAAATACACCAGCAAGCCCTTCAGCCAGAGGTACTAGCTCTGTAGCAGGCTACTAGCAGCAGTAGCAACATCTTCAAACTCAGTCTTTACCATATCAATGGCTTTTGGCAGTAAATCAGGCCGGACAATATCCATATCCAGCCCTGACAGAAGGCTGAAGTTGACCTTTATATTGCTACCCTGGACTTTGATGATACTCTTCGCTGGTGAAGGTATCATACTTGACCTAGGCTAGAGTTTTGTTCAGCTTAATATCTTGTTGTAGAATATCCAGGCTATGTTACCAATCCTGGTTATGGCTGCAAAGAGCATCTCTGTAGGGCACCTGGTCTCCAGACTCCAGCATCAAGCATAGGATGACAGATATGCATGCCTCAATGACTGCAAAATTGGCCACAGAAACAACCATAACCAAGGAGTGGTTCAATAAACCATGAGATAAGGTGGATTATATGCACTATGTGCAGACTTGTGAAGCTTGAATATAATTGAATATATTCATAATATATTCATATTCTGAGCCCAATTATGATTATGAATATGAATACAATTATAATATGCTCCAGCAGAGAGAATATATTATGAATATGAATAAATTATGAAAATTTCGTATTCATAATCATAATTGGACAGCACTAATTAGTACTACTGACACTGCTGAGACTGTATCCAGAGCTCAGTATGATATCCTGAAGATATTTGGGCTATGATATTCTATTGATCTCTCTACTGATACTAGTATATAATTGATATTCTGCTATGATATTAGCCTGATATTTACGCGTGATATCTTCTGGATGTCATGGTGGGTTGGGGGTGTACCTAGAGCCTTCCAACACACACATGGCAGGCCATATCAACACTCCAACATGTTCACCTCTCATCAATTACCTGATGCATGGGCCTCTGACAGAGTGGGCTATCCAAGTGCATGGGCCTGAAAGTATATAGATATAAGTAATGAGAGTGCTGAACTATAGAAATTAGAAGGTATACACTATATTTTCAGTGTCTTTATACCCATATAAGGCCCAAATCTTTTATATACAAAAAGTTTTTTTTACCCCCCAGGGACCCCCCGGGCCCCCCTCCCCCCCTACCCCATGTGCCTGATAAGGATCTTGAACCCCCCTTGGTTAGTATAAGGTGGTTTCTTCGACTTCCACCCTGATTCTTGACGTGATTCCCAGCTTCCCGAATCCCAGCACCTGGCCTCATTCCGAATTATCTTTGCCTGCTGGCCATCGCGTGGTGCCTTAGCTTGGGCTGCCGATTTCAGTTTTTGGGAGGGAAGGAGTGGGTGACGGCGTCAATGAGGCAGCAAAAGAAGCGCGTGCCGCCGGCGCGGCGTCACTCGTCCGGTGTCCGGCGTGACGAGTGACATCTCTTCTCTTGTCTACTCCACCACCACACTTGAAAAGCTCATGGACTACCTTGACACGCTGCCCCCTGAACTCTGGAATCGTTGCTTGTCCTTGCTCAACCCCACAAACTTGCGTAACGTCGCCCTCACATGCAAGACTCTCAACGACTTCGCCCAGCCTTGTTTGTTCCGTCTGCTCCGTGTGGTCGTCGCAGACGGCCAGTACGGTACTGAAGAGGTGATAAACGCCTCCCGCGATGCGTTTGTACAGCGGTTTGTCAGCATCTCAGAGAGCACGACGCTGGCGCCACTCGTGAAGAGGATCATTTACGCGGACCATCTGGAAATGGGGAATCCCATGGCTCTGGGGGCGGTCCGCAATTTCAAAGAGGCTGTCCCTGCCAACTTCTTCCCCATCCTTCCGCGCTTTGTTGGGGTGGTCCAGCTCACCCTCTGGCAAGCCGGCATAGACTTCGAGGCCCCGGATATGCGCAAGGCGATTGAGTCATTGCCGCTGCTCCGCCGACTCCTTATCGGCGGGAGCGAGCTCGAAGACGGCAATCCTATGCCCCTCGAAAGCTTTACGTTCCAAGACTCGCGACCTCTGGTCTATCCCAATACCGAGCCGCTGCATGTCGTTGACCCAAAGACAATCCAGCGGCTAACACTTCTCGGCCCATTGGGACTAAACCCTCTCTTTGTGGCTCTCCAGTCAACTCCGCTGCCCGCGTTGCGCTTTCTACACATCGACATCTCGCCCGAGTCGGATATAAGCACCATCGTTGCCATGCTCGATCAATGCGAACATCTCCTGGAGCTTGTCATTGGCCACCACGCGCAATCGCATGCAGGTCTCATCCCCAGGTTCGATGCTGGACAGCAGCAGATCTTGGCTACCATGTTTGCCGCATTCTCTGAACAGATGGTCAATGCGGGGCTGCCGCTCCCTCCGGGCTTTACGCTCCCTGGCTTTGGGCCCGCAGCTGACACGGAATCAGAGATGGACAAACTCGGGCGGACATTCATTCTGGCGCCATTGGCACTCCCGAATTTACGGAGCCTGCGTTGCCCTTACAACTTTGTTAGACTCCTCCTGCCCAACCGCGCCACCCTCGACACGCTTAACACATTTCGGGGCAAGAGCGAGCGAAAAGACGAAACACCTATTGCGGCAATCGAGGCGGCGGGTATCAATGACAACATGCGCGTTTTGCGCCTGCTTAGCGCGTTACCCACTCATACTCTCCCGGAAGTCTTCACAGCCGTTGCCCGCTTCCACCCTGCACTTCGCGATTTCACCCTCGTTGCCCATTACGGCCCGCAAGCGCGCTTGTCGCAGCTCGTAGAACAGGGTATGCTGGTGCTGCCGCCACTGCTGGAGGCCCTCGAAATCCGTATTACGTCTGCCCGCGGCGAGTTGTCCGAGCAGTCGATTCGGCGGGAAATCACCGAGGCACTCAGCGCGCAACAGGCAGCTTCGACGCTTTGCAAAGTTGTCTTTGCCATTGAGGAGGATGATGTGCGGAAGGTGCATAAGTATGTCAAGCGTGTTGGCAGCAGAGGAGAATGGATTTGCGAAGCTTAGCGTTGGTCGTTCTGTTTCTATTTCTTGAAAAAAAAATTGTTGCCAATGGGACATCATGACACCACGGTCACCACGCCGTCCCCCGCAACAGCTGCCCGATCTCTCGCCCGACAACTACCTGCGCTGCAGACACCGGATGCAGCCAGTTACTGTGCAGAAGGTCAGTCGCTGATCAACAAGACCATGAAACCAGAGACTTACTACCAGAATTGTCCTGCCTTCCCATCGTCGCCTGATGTGTCGTTGAACCCATACTGCACACTGATCAGATGTCTTGGGAGAAGAGAATCAAACGCGGTACGCACCCCCGCGGGATTGTCAAGTACGCGGTTGAAAGCAGCATGTGCATCGTACTCCCATATGCTTACGCCGCGATTCGAAGCAGCGAAATGGTGCGCGGCAGCCGACAGCTGCGCGTTATAGTTTTGGATGATCTTCGCCTCAAATGTTCGGTTCGCGGCGCTATGACTAGCATCGTTCATGCCCGGCGCGCGCTGAAGCGGTGGAACATTGATGAAGAGGAGATTTCGCGCTCCAAAATCACTGAGAGGTAAGTACAAATGGTGGAGGAAGGGACATCCTTACTACTAGAGTAGCTGTCAGGTAATGGGGACAATAGGTAGAACATCCGACATACGAGAGTTTGAACATGCGTAAAGTATCGTGCAATCAACTGCTTCGTTAAACTGTGGCCGTGTAAGTCTTGCTTTACATGATGTTCATCAACGGACCGAGGATGGTCGACATCCGTTGCCCAGCTGAGGTCAATGTCATTGATTCCAAGCTGGTGGAACCCCGTCAGCCTCGTCGATGAGTATATTGAGCCCTGGGAAGACGACACACCCAGATCGAGAACAGCGCATTCTCGCTGTTCCAACGCCGTCGGTCTTGACCAGCATCCCACGTTTTTAGCTGCGCGATTTGGTCGGGAAGAGTCTGGACAAAGTCGGCATATGGTAGGACAAGGTCGCGCGAGATGGTGGCGCCGCTGAAGGCCAAGTTGTAGCTAGTATTGCTTGGAGTTGGTCGATGAGAGAGGGAAGTAACGGGCCACGCACGTCAGAACAAGAGAGTGGTTATACTCCACTGTCGCAACGTCGATCCAGTTGGGCCCGGGCGTCGCAGTCGCTCCCTAACCAGAGACAGTGATTTTAGCATCAAGGACATTGCAGAGCACAAACGGGGTATGTCGGATTCCCCAGCGGCCTGTCGCGCGAAGGGAGCGGGCCAGTGGTGATATTGAAGCCAGTCTGGGTGTACGAGTCTCCGCTGGAAAGGTATTGAATAAGGGCTGGGAAAAGGTATGGACAACGCACAAGCTGAACCAATACACTGGCTCCGGCAGACTCCGACCATTGACATGAGCAGCAGCCGCTGAGACAAGCTCCGCGCCAATAAGGCCTTTGAGCAACACAGTAACAGCGACTCCCCGCGCCATTTGCAATTTGACTGGGCAAAGATAGAGGCCGTCAGCCAGTGTGCGACGTGCTTAAGACGCGCCGCATAAACGTCGGGAGAACCTGCGTGTTTGAAGCCCGGCGCGGGCCGTCAGTGAGCGCCATGAGAGTCGAAGCCAAGAAGCAAAATCTTTGTCAGCTGATGTCATGCACCGATCAACGCGGCACGAGCAACCCAACGATTAGCGGACTTGTGCAATAGCGCTGGCAGCGCGAGGAAAGCCTTTGCGCGGCATGTAGGTCAGTGCACTCCGAGTTAGAGCCTCTGGGATTGGAATAGAGCCCAGAGACGGGGATCACTGGAAGAAAAGAAGTTGATGGGGGTGTGCTTTAATTGGAGTTTGACGCCACTGCTCCTTATAACTGCAAGGGCACTGCGGCAATAGAGCTCTTCTCCCCCACGCACCCCCAACGCGGATAGACCAAGCATAGTTGCAACAGACCTGAGTCTTGGTGAGTCTAACACTTGCTTGAGAAATGACTGAAGCTCAACTTGAAGCCGTTATAGATGGTAGTCCACCGTAAAGGTCCCCCGAGCTACACCGCCTCTGAGCTTGAGCAGCTTGTCAAGCTCAAGCTACGCCAATACGAGCGCGAACGACAGCCGTCTGAAGCGAAACAGCTCCAAAAAGAGATCATCAAGCTCATGCGCCAGCTGGCGGACACACATCCTGAACCCTGCGAGCGTAAACGATGGGAAGAACAAGCAGATAACTTGGACAATGCGACGGAGGAAGAGCGGGAGCATATATTGCTCGACATCGGGAAAGGCCTCGGGCTTATCCTCGTGTTGCCGTTTTTGTTTGCTGGCGGCGTGCTTTACGGGGTGGGCTTGTTCGTGAAGGGCGTTGGCAACCTGCTCACGGGAGGAGCGATAAAGAAAGCTTTTGAGTAGATTGTCATGTGATATTACATGCTTGCAAGCGTTTGAGAGTGTTAGCGGAGCGTTTCCGTTACCGAACAAGCTCTCAGCGATGACTCAAAACCTGGCTTCTCTCAGACTTGTCAACAAGAGCCATGCACTGACGACGCACCAATCATGACAAACAACATCTTGGACCGGTCGCCCTACTCGTTCCGCCACGTGGATGGTGAGCACTGAGAGACGGCTACAGAGCGTCTGTAAGGCCATGTGCCAGGGTCAGCAAGGGCTAGACACTCTTTACGAGTACCCACTTTGAGTCGTTCTGAACCATTTACGGCTCGGAGTTTGTGTCACGGTCGGGCTTCTATGACGCTATGCCGTGGCGGGCGGTGTTGGGCGGAGGCAAGAAGAGAAACACATCCACCCAAGCCTGAGTTCTGCCAGGGCGCAGCTAGACATTGCCGTCCACGCCAACGATTTCTCTGCACAAGCTGCATGCATGGCTCCGTCGTCGGGGCAGATGGTTGTCAAGGGCAAAGCCACAGAAGATCAGTCGTCACAGCGTGACTTTCGGGCCGATGTCCGATCAGCGGTCCCACGCTTGCTCACAGCTTCCACGACGGACTCAAACTGAGGCGCCCGCATCCAGCGCTGTACGCGGCAGGCGCTCAAGAAGCTTGGTACACGTATGGCGTGTGTTATGGTGGTCCTTTTTAGCCGCACTCTTGGCTGATTTGCCCGCAACTTCTGCCTGAGAGAGCCCCGCCACGTCTGGCCTTCCTGTCTCAGACTCCAAACCGCGCCGAATCCGCCCCGCAGCTTTGTCAAAAGGTCGAGGTGAATCGTACCACTCTGTGGCCCTTGAACCCCAGTGAAAAGTCGGTGAGGCGTGGTGAGATCAAACGGGAAGAAGTGCTGAGTGCGTCATTATGCGAGATGAATCGAGCTGTCGTGTATATTTGGCAACCAACTATAATTATCTATCGATGCATCTCACTTTCTTTCTCATTTCATTGCACTCAACTTACTTGGATGTCAAGAGAAAACTGGTCGCGATTCGATGATGGATATGTCTTCCCAGACGGGCAAAAACTCTGTAAATGTGTGGATCTATGTGGTGGCGGAGCCAAGGTCGATCGACGCAAATGGGGACGCCACCACACAGATTCCACCAAGCCCTTGCGCCACCACACAGATTCCACCAAGCCCTTGCGCCGCGCTGTTCCTCGTCACATCGAGACCGCATCTGCCGGACCCAGCAAACAAGCGCGCCCGCGTAGTGATTCTGATGAGCCAGAAGGGTCGTTCAACTTGAAGCAGCCGGAGGTATGCGGATTGTTGAAAGATCTTAAACTTGAATATATCACTAACCAACAATGTAGATGCAAAGTTTTGCGATGGAGATTGACTTACAGCAGTCTTTCGACACGTCTGCAATAGACCCGGTGCGTGTATTTAGCTGTTTTCATTGTCTGATCTAACTTGCGAGCATGCACAGACACCTCAGGCTGCTCTGCCACTTGAAAGTTTACCTGCGCAGCCGCCGCCTTTCCCTGAGCCAGACATCCTTGACCCAATAGAGTTGAACGCGGTGGAGCTGTTTGACGAAGTCTCTGAGGTGCTCAACTTCAATGCGTTCCAGTTGCCAGAGGCAGAGCCTAGCGAGAATGAGCTCGAGAACTTGGACGAGCATCTGATCGAAGAGGCTCCGCCGGCCCGCTCGGATTCACCAAACCCTCCAATGCCTCCCTCCCCCACTCCCCCAACTCGGCCTATACCTGCTGCTGCAGCGCCAAACTCATTGCCCCGTCCTCCGTGGCGCTCAATTCCGCGGGAGGAGATCAAGATTGAGAAGCTCCAACTCTCAATTGAATATATTGAGCTTTTGGAGGGTGCTTGCAAGGCGAACAGCCAGCTCTCGTCAGCAGACAACGAGCGCCTCTGGAACCCGCCACGGAAACAGGTTGACCTGAGCGATCCAGCTCTGCGGCAGGCCTTCCGCACATTTATCGGACCGAATGATCCTGTTTGTCAGGGGAACCTCCCTTTCGGCCCCTCGGAGACGCCTCCGATTCCGGTCCGACTCCGGTTCCGTCTCCGGTCCGGCCCTCCATCTCGCCCGCACAATCACCGATCCGTCAACGCCCTCCCGACGGTCGCCCTGGGACCTTGCCTGCGACGCCGCCCAAGCCTTCTGTGCCCGACAGCGGCAGCTACGGACAAGCAGTATATAGTCAGCTACCTAGCAGGCGGACCCTTAGAGTTTCTTCTCTTTGGATCCTCCCCTGCTAGGTCAGCTTCATTTGTATTCGCTTACCAATGTTCACGCTTTGGATCCTCCCCTGCTAGGACCTTGATCTCAGGCCTCCGGGGTTGCCCTTACAGCAGAAGAAACTCTCTACGGGATCAACCGGACAAGATTGCCAGGTTCGGCGCTGACTCAGGCTCGGAGTACGAGTCCGTTCCGCCCTCGTCACCGCCCCTGCCACTTGTCCCCTCCTCCTCTACTCCTGTGGTCCCCGCACCCGTCATGCCGTCCGGAGTCACTCCTACCGCAGACGCCCGGCTGGACTCACTCGAGGCGAAAATCGATAGCCTAACTGAGGCCCTTGCTTTACTCACCAACCAGGCTTCCGCTGCCGCTGCCGCCGCTAATAATGCTGGCGGACCCCAAACACCATCGCCGGAGACGTCGATTCCGACTCCGACTCCGGTCCAGGGCGACTCGAAGCCCTTTTTGGCGACATCAACCTCCCCTCAAAATTGGTCTTGCGACCAAACCCCCCGTTCACCTTCAACGGCGACCGGAAACGCGGCCCGCGTTCCTTTACGCGGTCCGCACCTACGCCCGCCTTGCCCCTGAGGCCTTCGTGGTCAACGGAGAGGCGAGCGAGGAAAAGGCCGTCCGCTATGCCATGTCGTTTATGGCAGAAGGACCCGCTCAGCAATGGGCGGAGCGCCACGGAAGCAAAGCCCCGTTTCCGTTTCCGTCCTGGGGCTCGTTCGTTTCGAGTTTCGACTCCGGTTCGTCGAGGAGAATGAGCAAGATCACGCTCTCTCCAAGCTGGAGACTTCCGCCTATCACATGGGTACAAAGGATGTCTACCAGTACACCGACGACTTCGAGGACCTGATGGACCTCGCCGGATTCAAAACGCGCTGGTCAAGGTGACCAAGTTCCGCCACGGACTTGACCCCTTGATCAATAACGGAATCACGTCCTCGAACGACCCCCCGGACCTCCGGGATTACCTTAGCTGGCGCACCCGGGCCTTCCGTCAATACGAGGCCCTGGTCCGGGCCAAGCTGATCAAGTCAGCCGCCCCCAAGACGCCTGGCGGTTTGATTCGGACTCCGTTTCCGGTCAACCGCATCCCGGCTCCGGCCCCTTTCCGCCCGGTGGCTCCGGTCGTGCCACCCCGCGGCCCGCGCCCCGCTCCGGCGCCTCCAGCTCCCGTCCCTATGGAGTTGGATCGCACCAGGGCTCGGGGTGCCCCTCGTCGCGCCTGCTTCAGGTGCGGCGACCCAAACCATCTCGCCGGGATTGCCCCCTCCCCGCCGATGTCCGCTCAATGGACATCCTCGACGAGGTGATCCAACAACTCGGTGACGAGATGTTAGCGGAGTTGATCGCCCGCTACACGGACACAGCTGCCCTGCCGGAGACGGCAGCGGAGTCGATGGCCGGAGAGGATTTTGTCCCCGCGACGAGTGACTGGTGTGCCCTCGTTCGCGTCTATAAATCGTTTTGCCTCTTTGTATGATGAATGCAGTTCCTTGCCCTACAATGAGCCCGAAACGAAAGACACACCCTCTCCTGCCCCCGCCTCGACTCCGTCTCCGACTCCGCCCGCGACTCCGGTCATCGTCTCCTCCGCCGCCTCACTGCCTGGGAAAAGAAACTGCCCAAGCAGTACACCGTTGCCGCTGCCCCTGGGGCGAACTCCCTCCACCTCCCGTTAGAGCTCGAGTCCACCACCAGGCGCTGAAGCTCTCACTCTCTGGGCTTGTCGACTGTGGTGCCACCTCCGACTTCATTGACACGAACTATGTTGCTCGGAATGGCATTCCGGTTCGCACCCTCGATCAGCCGATTCCGGTTTTCAATGTCGATGGCACCCCCCAATGACGCTGGCTCCATCAAACAGATCGCGGACTTGGTCCTGCGCTACAAGGGCCATGCCGAACGAGTTCAGCTGGCCGTCACCCATCTTGGCAAGCAAGACCTCATCCTGGGGTATTCCTGGTTGCGGAAACATAACCCAGAGATCAATTGGGAAACCAAGGAGGTCAAGATGACACGGTGCCCCCGCAATTGCTCGACCTGCCGTGAGGAAGAGCGGGTCGAACGGACCGAGTTGCGGCGACTCCGGTCGCTTCAGAAGCGTCTCCGCTCCGGCCCGTTCCCCTCGGTCTGCGCCATGGACCTTTCTGGGTCTGATGACGGAGACGACTCCGTCTCCGGTGACGACTCCGGCCTGCCTGATCTGACGCCGGACTCCGACGACGACGATGACGATGGTCAGCTTGAAGATGGTGACCGCATCTTCTACACCTCGTTCCGCCCCTCGGAGGAGATACGCGCTGGCAGTACTGTCTCGCAACGCCTGGCCGAAGCCTTCGCCAGGAACTCCGCCCCTCCGCCCTCCGAGATCCCGGACTGGGCTAAGGAGTTCCAGGACGTCTTCAACAAGGAGTCCTTCGACACGCTACCGGAGCGGAGAGCCTGGGACCACGCCATTGAACTCGTCCCCGACGCTAAGCCCACCAACTGCAAGGTGTACCCCATCTCGCCCCTCGAGCAACGCGAGCTCGACGCGTTCATCGAAGAAGGGCTTTCGACGGGCCGGATTCGCCCCTCCAAGTCTCCGATGGCGTCTCCGGTCTTCTTCGTCAAGAAGAAGGACGGCGGACTCCGCTTCGTCCAGGACTACCGTGCTCTCAATGCGATGACTGTCAAAAACCGGTACCCCCTTCCGCTGATCAACGACCTCATCAACCGGCTCAAAGGCGCTCGTTACTTCACCAAA